CAGGGCATCAACCAATAGGCATGCAGCTTTCCTCTATTCTTCTTGCTGATTGGCTGTTGGGATTTAACTTGATTAACACCTGCACAGAGCATTTCCATACTAACAGTATGTCTGTATTCAAGTGTTTTGGTAGGTATTTCAAGCTTTCCTGCTCCAGCATTGGAATGCGGGGCATGAACGTTTTTTTTATTTTGAAAATCAACAGTTTGCATTATGCAATCAAAAATCCTAACCAATAAAGTAGGGAATAGCTATCCAACTGTTGTTTTAGTTGTATGTTACTTCATATTATAGTTATATCAATGTAAATCATTGTTTTCCCTTGTGTTTCTCATTCTTTCCCTGCCATGTCGTAAAATGTGGTGAACCCATCGCTGTATTTGCTCCAAAGCAAATATTGGCCTTTCTAGTTTGATATGAGATCATAGTCTTCAAGTTCATAGAACTTCTTCATTTAAGGACAGAAAAGATTAAAAAATTCATATATTTTCTACAAACGACTCAAAGTTGAAAGTAAAGCGATAGTTTTTAGGAACGTAGAGAACAATGATTAATTGATGACATATTTTTGCGACCACCACTGCTTGATGAGTAAATTTTCTTACAGATTGGTTTTGGCAAGATGATATATCTTCATCAAGGAACCATAATTTAGTACGACTCTATTAAAAAAACTTATTACTTTTTTGTTATATGCTTCCCGATTTTGCTTTTAGTACATAGGTAAAGCGTTGGAGCGTTCGGATTGAAAATAGAAACGACGTGTTACGTATAAAGCACGTTTTCATGATTGAACCGTATTTACTTTATGTCACCGCGTTTCTTATGACCACTCTTCATTTACTGTTCTGAAGGGAGTTTCTCCACATTCAACTCTACGTGAGCACGTGTTAAAATAGACACATAAACCAGAAATGGGCATGGAGGGGTACTTCACTTTAAGATAGATACGCTTTACGGACAAGAAGTTCGACAAAAATCAGCTGTAAACTCTTTATTGTCATAGCCACTTTCTTTGGACACAAATATTTTAAGACCATGTTTTCAAATTAAAGGCTGCTCGTTAACTTTGAGTGTATGCTTTTATTTGGATATAAAAACGGGTTACGGTTTTTCAATTCGAGTAAGTGTATTGTCAGGTATACGTGTACGATGTGGGATATTCGATGACAAAGCAATACATGTTAACGTCTACATTTTGTTTTATATGTAAGTAGCCCTTTTATGCCCGTGGTCGTTTTTGAGTGATGTCGAGAAGGCTTCAGAACTTTATTGCGGTCGTTTGTCACAACGGGAAATATCGCCTAACATATTTTATGTTGTCATGGTTGAGAAAGTAGCCTAAAGCTACGCCAACCTACAAGACTGCGCCGGGACTTTCCGTTCCAGAAATAACCGTGAAAGACACGTGATGAGAATAAATACGCCATATGAAACACTACCAGTATGACCGGGTTTAGCGGGGCATGGTGTAACATTTTTTTTGCACCAAAAATTGAAATATTTTTATTGAAAAAATATTTGTGGAATCATCTCACATTTCTCCATGTGAAACATTACAAGTATGACCAGGTTTAGCGGGGCATGGTGAAACATTTTTTGTTTGCACCAAAAATTGAAATATTTTTATTAAAAAATATATTTGTGGAATCATCTCACATTTTTAACATTTATGGTTTGCGCTAAAACAGTCCACATTGGGAGCACTCATGGCTGACAGCTTTGTTTTTACTCATTCAATGCAGTTTTTAGTGCTTGGAAATCCGATTTTTCAAAGTCAATATTCTAGTCACTTATCTAGTCACTTATCGTACTGAGTTGAAACAACACTATCCCAATGTATATTGACCCCCATGGAGTAAAAATACCCAAAATTCTGAAGGAAAATGGTTACTGGAAGGGCCCTGAGATAAATTTTAGGGTACCACTCATAAAATAAAGGACTCATCTTGGGGCTTTTTTAATGCAGTTTAAGACATCCAAAGTATGAAATGCTGACTCAAATGTGCTAATGTGAAGCAGTATGTGTCAATATCATAAAGATTGCCTTATTCAGAATATTACATTTCCAGTTTTGCTGCTCTGAAATAGCATTGGGTGCCTTTAAACACACTTGTACGGCGTAACATTTTGGCATCTCCACTTCCTGAATGACACTCACTTGCAATGGAGTAGGGTTAAATCAAAGAACCGACATATCATAGAAGAATTCGAAGTGGGTAAATTCGTCTTCCATTGCCTAAAAAGAAGTCAAACCCAGTAAAACTATAGCTAGTGCCATGTATGTTGTAGAATATAGTATAATGATACGGACATAGATATAGTCTCACATACCACTGTATTTTCTTTCTTGTGTTGTTTGTAACTGCAATTAGCCCTCGGGCTATAAACTTTAGTATCATGTAAAGAAACATGACCAGAAAATTGTCTCTTTGTATCGTCCTAACATTACATAATGGCACTTTAATATTACCAGGGAGTTGCACCCAAGTGATTGATCACCCAAATACCGCGGATGACTTCACTATGTAGATTCCCATTTTCATCAGTCTTTTATGGTGTGAAGGTATAGACCCAGCGCACACATTATCCTTCATAGTCCTGTGCTCGGGCAATCGGGGGGCTCATCGGGTACCATCTATTAACAACGCATCTCTTTGTAATGAAGCATTCAGACAGTCGAGCAGCCACGTAATTGCTTAGGTGAAACGATGAGTTCATTATTTTAGCAAGTCTATATAAGTCGACGGGTCTAAATGTTGGAGCCTTCATTATTAGTGAGTTAACGCGGTGCTAGTTGGAATTTATTGCCGTTTTCTACCGAAGATTCACCGTGCTTTTCCTTTAGTTGAGAATCTATGAGAAGCTATGGGCATTAGACGGTAAAATTCTACATGGTTTCGCTTCATCCTTTCTCAACGTGGGTGTATCATTGGAGACATGTCGGTAATAGTGCATGACGGTTGTACTGGAATACATTCAAGTGTACGAAAGCTTGTTGACTATTTCTCCAATATTACACTGCATGCATGCAATCGTAAAGATGTCACTAAACTCTGTACAACAATTGATTGTATCCATGGGATTATTTTATGATAAATTCTCCAGCTATTCGTCAAAGACCTTCACGGTGATGTAGTAACATGAAAACAGACTTACCTCTATCTTTAGGGTGATACACATTGAGATACAGGCAGTCCTCGTCCATTCGGTCCTGGAATGGCTTTAACATGGCCCTGGCTCTCTCCGGCAGCGGTGAGAGGTACCCGGCTTTCTTCTGTAGGTTCGCCTGCGGACACACAGGTCCGAACGTCGTGCAGTTGTACACTCCAGGCCACGCCTTGGGCCTGAGCGGCGGCCTGAACCTGAGTTCCCCCACCGGTGGCCTGGCGTACGGTATCCCCAAGTACTGTATGACCGGTTTTAACCGAGGGTTGGACAGATTCACCCTCCTCCCGACGATGTGCCCGTAGGTTGTCTGCACCGTCGGTAACCCGTTCTGTGGCAGAGCCTCCTCCTGTGTTATCAGAAAAGTGAGCAGGACGCCAAATGTCTTGATGCAAAACGTCCTCATCTTGTGTCCGTGTGTAGCTAGCTCTACGTCGGCTTGGCTCTCCGTACGAAATCAATGGCTTGTCGCCGTAGCTGCTCCTCCTCCTACCCTAGATGTTGTATCCTGCCACGCGCCCTTCGGGAATGCAGCTAGCCCGCCTTACCTGGGATGTAATGCAACAGAACACGTTAGTGCCATTACGTCGGCGCATTCTATTAGTTTATTGAACGCCACACTGAACAAGCCTTTTACTATTTCCATCACATTAGAGCCTATCATATCAACACTGCGCCATCGGTACACACTGTGGACGACTAAAACTTAAACCGTTCCAAATTGAGAACAGTTAATCTTATCGGAGGTTGAAAGGGACGTTTTCCAATCAAAAACCCGGTTAAGTAAAAGAAGAAAAAAAAGAAGTCGGCTTGTATCGGCAGGTTCACAAAAGCGGCTAACTGAAAAATCGATTCCGCTGTAGATTTAATCGGGATTAGAGCTGGCCAAGGTTCTGATGTATCAATCTAACGTTTATGATATAGAAGTGTTGACATGGAGGGGTCAGCTAAATACCTTTTATCCGCGATACGGTAATGAGACCAGGACTCTGCCATAAAGAGATCGTAATTGGAATGAAAACGACTTATCTAAGTCAGCAGGGTCGGGCGGATTAATTTGTAGTTCATCCCTGACCGCACGTGCATGGATAATACATTTTTACGTTATATAGGGCACTTGGATAGGCGCTCTAAATAATAAAATGTATGTCGGTGAGACTTATTATATTGTGTGTTTATGCCAAGTGCTACGATGGCCAAGTCTTCTCCATAAGAATGAACTGAACGTTATTTGCTTTGCCTCATATGGGCCATGGCAACATATATACATATAATCATACATACATACATACATACATACATACATACAAACATAATAAAGAAATTGAATTGCAAGAAAAGTAATTGCATACAATTTTTATTTTCTATTTATTCACATATAGTTATTAAGTATTGGGCAAAAAGCAAAAGTTTCCTATATAACACCTTCTACTCAAAAACATACAACGAGTATCAAACACATTGACAAAATACATACATAATTACAAGGTGGATAAAACCAAAATAAAGACAAAGAAGACAAGTTGGTGATCTATCAATTACGATATATTTTATAAATCAGCATGCAATTCATAAATCAGCCAGTAAAATGAATTAGCTAACATATATAAAGAAAATAGAAGGGCAGCTCTGTCATACACAATCATCTACGTTTTTTCCGGAATATCGTCCGGTATTGATTCCGGAAGTTCGACTTGATCCTGTGGCTTTCGACGTTTCCAAAAAATCTATCGGAGCAGGTCAAGTTGAAGAGTACAGGTCAAGGTCACGACCTTCTCAACGCCGACCCTTGAAAATGTAATTGCTTTCTCAATTTTCCCCCACAACGATCCGTACTTTGCAGATTACAACTGGCATATAGATGATGCATGCTTGTTTTTCACGCTTACAAGAAGACGTGTGTGCGTTGACAGGCCATCTTTTTCAATCTTATCTTGAAAGTTCATCTGTGTTGGTAGAAGTCATTATGAAGTAAGTTTAAACTGTAATTTCCAACACAACAAAAAATTGGACTCACCCAAATTTTCTGCGTGACGTCACGGAAGCGGTGGATTGCTCATTCCTTGAAAAAGACTGGAGTTGTACAGTCGAAAATTTGGGTGAGTCCAATTTTTTTTTTTTGTGTTGGAAATTACAGTTTAAACTTACTTCATAACATCTTTTTCAATCTTCAGAAAGGACCGATTCAACACTGAGGCAAAAAAGAACTTAAACTATGTGTTCAGTCATTTATAAAAGAAACTAAAAGATTTGAGTAATCTTTTTTCTATCCTACCAGTTTGTAAGTTTGATTGGAGTACTTTGTTATAATTTACTTGCATCTACAACGCCTCTTCATATATTTTATAAGACAGCAACATAGTCTTTATGCGTTGTAATCTTATTTATTCAATTTTGTTATTATTAAGCTCTGCATGTCTGTATTTGTTCTGATGTACTTTTGCAACGTTAGATGGCTACACTAACATAATCTTCGGCTTGAGTATGTCCTTTTTGTTACTAAATGTTGTTATAAAACATTGAGGCATTTGTAAGAGTTAGATGCAAACCGACATCACGTATTAGTGCTCTTCTCTGATTAAGAATATTTGATGTTGAGTGACAGTGAGCAGTAATTAGAATCCTTCCATATGGATCTAATCAAATTTTAGTTAAACTTGGGTAAAATTTTATAACAAATATTTAACTCCCGAACACCAGTCAACCACCAGCCAACCATGGCCGAACCAGGCGTTAAACATTTTTAACCATATTCAGCTGGCGTATCCTATGAGTAACCTATCTAGCCGAACACCAGCCAACCACAGCCGACCTTGCCCCCGACCTACTTCTAACCATGGTTGGGGGAACTTCGGCTAGTGTTCGGGAGGCCAGATTCAGCTATGTGTGACAGGGGCGTCAGGTTTTTTTTTTTAATTTTTTCCCAACATGTAATCACCAGACGTGGTGACGGCACACTCAAGTTTTTTCAACTTATATCAATGCCGCCACCAACACAGGGGACAAATACATGACAGGACAATACTCATTTACATCTAAGCTTAGTGAGAAAAGTCGTGTAAAGTGCCTTTCCCAAGGGCACAAGATCGGTGGCATGTCAGGACTCGAACCCGGGACTCTTAAGTTCCGAGTCGCGTACTCTGCCGCTACGCCACCCCATCCCACGTTTGAGATTTGTTACGACGCCTTCCCGGCTAAAGGGTTATGGATAGCAAGATTCTGCAGAAATAGGGTTAACGACTGGCCCGAGGAGTGAACCACGGCGAGAGCAAATGAACTCTATGGTCTCCAAACTCCCCTGGAAAATTGTTATCTCCCTCAGCCTGCGTTGTAAATCTAATGGAGACTACGCGTGTCCAGAACCGTGCCTATCTAGCTCTATGCCTGAATGGGTCAGGGTTAAGATCAGGAACGGTTCTGGATATCCTTCACGTATCCAAGAACGTAGATCTGTCCCAGTCGCATTGTTCTGGATATATAAAGCACGGTTCTTGATACAACAGGTCCCTGGACAATATCGACATCCAAAAGAACAAGATCTCGCCCTGGCTTCACTGAGTACATTTGTACATGTACTGGTTTTTGTAGGATAAGCCTTACTTTGAATTCCAGCCATGCCCATGTAGTTCTATGTCTGCATTGGTTATTCAGGATCAAGCTTAGTTAGGGATAGCCTCATCGTATAACGTAGATTTACCACAGGCACAGTTCTGGATACTCGTAGACTATCGAGAGAACAGTGTCAGGGCATCGAGCTAGATGAAGCACGGTTGTGGCTACAACAGTCCCCTTTACTCCATAGTTTCGAGATTAGAGTCCCAGTATAAGCCATAGCGCGTATGAAGGATGCTGTAGCAGTGGCGGCATCTGGCAGGATGTTCTGGATACTCTAAGACTATCTGAAGACTATCCAGAGAACCGTGTCAGGGCATGGTGCTAGATGGAGCACGGTTATGGCTCCAACAGTCCCCTTTACTCCATAGTTTTGCCATTACAGTCCCGGTGTGAAGGATGTTGTACCAGTGGTGGCATCTGTCAGAACGTTCTGGACACTCTAAGACTATCTGAAGACTATCGAGAGAACCGTGTCAGGGCATGGCACTAGATGAAGCACGGTTATGGCTCCAACAGTCCCCTTTACTCCATAGTTTTGCCATTACAGTCCCGGTGTGAAGGATGTTGTACCAGTGGTGGCATCTGTCAGAACGTTCTGGACACTCTAAGACTATCTGAAGACTATCGAGAGAACCGTGTCAGGGCATGGTACTAGATGAAGCACGGTTATGGCTACAACAGTACCCTTTACTCGGTGGTTTTGACATTAGCAGTATCGCGCGTATGAAAGATGTTGTACCAGTGGTGGCATCTGGCAGAACGTCCTGTAATAACACAGGTTATCACTCTAACTTCGGGGCCAGCTCCGTAATGGTAGGTTAGCTCTTAGCAGGGATTTTCAAAGTCCAATATTGTACTGCAGGTGATGTTTATTATACAACTTCCCGTACAGTACACCTAATCCATGGCTACTACTAGTATATCTGCATGGTATCGGCTTGGTAGGATACTATCTTAACAACCATTAAAGATAGTGGTGGATTTACATGCTGCTTTACTTATCATATCCTAAAGGTAAGTATAATTTAAAGGCTATGTATATTATTCCAATGTTGTACGGCAGGTGGTATCTATTATACAACCTCCCTTAGTACACCTAATCCACGTTTACCATATCTGCATAGTATCGGCTTGGTAGGATATTATCTTAACAACCGTTAAAGATAGTGGTGGATTTACATGTTGCTATTCTTATCATATCCTAAAGGTAAGGTAAGGTTTTTTAATATGTTTATGTGGGTCATGTATGTATAGTATTTGTATTTTTATATTGAAAGCCTTTGTATGTGTCACACTGTATGTATTGTTTTCTGTATTTTTGTCAATAAAGTAATTAACAAAATATCCTAAAGGTAAGTATAATTTAAAGGGTTAGAGAGCAATATATGTATATTATTCCAATGTTGTACGGTAGGTGGTAGCTATTATACAACTTCCCTTAGTACACCTAATACACGTCTACCATATCTGCATAGTATCGGCTTGGTATACGTAGGATACTAGTATTATCTTAACTGTGAAAGATCGTGGTGGATTTACATGTTGCTTTGCGTATCATATGAATCCTAAAGCATAATTTAAAGTGTAAGCTATGTATATTATTCCTCTACAGAGAATGCCAAATTTTATTGTAATTTGAGAATTTTAAATGTTGACTAAGTTGAGAATTCTAAATTTTGACTGTAAGTTGAGAATTTTGAATCTTGAGTGATTTGAGAAGAATTTGAGAATTTGATGATTTTGAAATTTGAGAATTTTATGATGAATTTTTTGTGTAACTTGAGAATTTGA